CGTTTTGTGTTTGCAGGAACTGAACGCCCCAACCAGATACAGCCAACGCAGGCCGAGCGCACAGACCAAGGTCACAGAGGTACAAACGCAGCAAAGTACCATCTTCCTCCTCGCTTCTTTTCATAAACTCCCAGATCAAAACCTTCCTCTTTCTTTCCAGAGTGCCAAAGAAACTGAGCAACTTGAAGCTGCTGCGGTTCCCAAAGATGATGCAGACTTCAAACAGGTATTTGAACTGCACCCAATAATGCTCAGCTCAGGCTTATTTCATGCATAGTACATACAATGTCTTCCTCTTTCTCTACACGTGTGCTTTGTTGTAGGGTAATAACTCAATGCTGACTGGAATATTTCAGTGGAGCCAAAAAGGGAGAGCGCCCACTTTCACTGTTAGCAAAGCACCTCCAGCTGTTCAGTGTAAATGCACAGCAGGGCTTTAGACAAGCTTTAACATTATGTGTTAGCATATCAGGGTGTGTGTGTGTGTGTGTACTTTTGCACTGTTTCAGGCTAATGTATCTACTTGTTGTTTATACTGTTCTGTAAGCAGTGATGCACAACAAGTTGTTTCAAAATTAGTTAATGATGGATGTGGAAGTGGCGAAATCCTATTTTTCATTATATAAATGAATATTTCTTTTCAATTATGATGCCTGTTCCTCCCTAGAAACAATTTCCGCTCCATTTTAATAATTTTGACTCGCCACTCGTCCTGTCTTCTTGCCAGTCTGGAAACCCTCAAGCAGAGGAATCAGTGTTAGGACTAATAAGGGATGTTTGTTCTGCATTGAATCTGTGGTTGTAATTGAATTGGCTTTTATTTAACATTGTAATTGAAACATTCCCGAAACCCTGTGCAGTTGGGCAAACTAATATTCATCCACCTGCACAGGTGTGAATGCTGTCTTTGGATAGTCTTGTGGGCTACATTGTAAGGTCTACATAGATTCAACGCAGATGTATAAATGAAACATAAAGCAGCGTCCAGACAAAAAGCGCACATTGTCACGCATTGCTTTGTCGTTGATGGTCACTTACTAGAAAATGTGCCAATTGCCTAAGTAACAATCTTGTGTATTTACCACCTTGCCACAAATGAATCACCAGTGTCCTTCACTCTCATTGGTAGTCGCTTCAGTCGCTCACATCAAAGTTGGGAAAATTTTGCCTTGGCATCCACCTACTTCCTGTCAGCAGAAATTTGTAGCTGAATGTCATTGTCTTTCTATGTCAGAGGTCACACCAAATTGCAAATTTAATCCCAGTAAAAAAAAAAAGTTATGAAATATGAGAATTTGAAGCATTAACAAAAAATAAAAAAATAGTATCTGTATAAACAAAGTACATCACATCATGAGATTAAAAAGTTAAAGATCTGTGCAGCATTTAAATAAGTAAGAATAATAATCCAGCCCATTTTGCCAGGTCTCTCCACATATGAGAGCTGCTGTTTGTGACTCTTTCCGAGCCTTTCTGGTCAGCTGAGTAGTCAGAGTTTAGTTTTAATGTGGATTGGTGTGCTGAGCTTTCTTTTTTTTTTCTACTCAGGGTTACATGACGAATGGAGAGGAAAAGACTGATGACGTCCCAGTCAAACAGGCTCCCGACAGCAAACCGGTATGTGTCATGCGTGTTACCAAGCACTCCACTGTCAGTGATCTCAGCTGTTTTTGTGACATGTGACTGTGGTTGGCAGGGCGTTCTGAAAGCAGTAATGAAAGGGTTGCAATTCAAGTCATCGCCAAAGGTACGAAGCCCAGCCTGAGCTTTCTGTTGGTGGTGGCTGCTGCGCGTTACTGTCTCTCAAACACTTGTGTTAACTGCACTGTGTGGGTTTTCTTCACTTTGCCTTGATGTTGCTTTACTTTCAAAAATGATCGAATATTTAATAAGACGATAACACAAAATATATCTTTGGCTGCACAAATTGAAAACAACTTGTTGGTTTAATTTAGCTCTGGTGTTTATAAACACTTTCCTATTTTAACAATCCACCAAGATGTGCAAGCACGTGAAAGTTGGTGCATGAACAGTATTGGCAAGGTTACTTTTAAAATGTATTCCACTACAGATTACAGGATACATGCCCCAAAATGTATTTAGTAACGTATTC